ATGAAGCAGCAACTGCTCCATATACTCTACTATCTATCAAACCATTTATAAATTAATTAACTCTCAAACAGATGACACTAGGAGTCAGGAGAAACAGCTAAACTTTCAAGCATCAAGGCTTCAAATGGCAGATTATGTATCATAATTTTTTCAGTGCTTAGGCTGGGAGAGTCAAATTTGACAATGACTTTTATCTACACATATTAAATTCACTTACTTAAACAAGGCTTAAACAAACAAGAAAACTTTTATCATATCATTCCTGAAAAAGTCTGAGAATGGCAGAAATACTAACACAGTTTCCTTTATTAAGAACTATGCAACACATACACGAACATGAAGTATAATTACCAATTGCTGGCCACAGGCCGGGCAGTCAGACAGTGCAGGCTCCCATCAGCCATGGGATTCAGAGGTATGGGATGAATGTGTACTAATTATCAGCAAATATGGTCAGAGGCAGAAGAAATGGATTACACTGCTCTCACAATTTGAAAATGAAAAATCAGTAAAACTGGAAAAGTGCACATTATGTCAAATGTAGGGATGATTTGTGTATGTTAACTCATCCGCTTTAATATGATGGTTAGTGTCACAAACATGATTAACCTATGTAACTAAAAATGCTGATGTTATTAAAAGCTACAAAATCTAGCAAATGTTTTTGAGTATTTAGGCCTTTGTGTAAAGTCATAATATGAAAGGTAATAAAAATATCAAAATCAGTTCATTCAGAGTAATACACAAACAGACGGACACAATGAAGCTAACAAATTATCATACACTGCAGTGAAACATGCCTGCAACACATGTTTTCACAGAGATATGGAATATTAACACGAACAGCTGTTCCTGTCATGTAACAATGCAGATATGATGGACACAGAATGTTATTATCAAAGCTGGACACACGACCTTAAAACAATACATAGACCTGCTACCTAGCCCATTAAGGCAAATGAAGTACTATTTTTCAGTGACACAAACATTATAGAGTTTCATCATTAAGTAATCAAAGTTTATTCAGAATCATGATCACAAGAGCCTGAGATGTATTTATAAGGCATGTCTTTCAAAACATAAGCAGCTGTATTTAACTTCCTGCCAGTGCAACATTATAATGCAGTAACATTTTATTGCAGTATGGGGGGTTATTCATCTACACTATTATAATGACAGCTAGAAAAGTCTTAGAAGTTCTGCAAAGTAAAATGATCAATGTGCACACGTTGCTATTAAGATTACAGTATTCTGGCAAGTGATGCCATCACCACTGAAATCCCATCCCAGAAGAATGCAATCCTTATATTCACTGCCATGAAAATCTTGAATCTCACACATGACTAAACCATAACCAAGCATTTATAATTTTTAATTGTTATGGTGGAGAAATGAGAAAATGCTATGGGGGTTGAGTTTAACATTACTGTGTAAAGACAATGTGAGTGCAGTGGTGGACTGGTGTTGTTGGGCAGGAGGTGCAGGGGAACCTTGGCTCCTATAAAACACAAGGAAACAAAGCAAGGCCAATATATCACTGCCTATTTTCAGATCACATATACACAAAAAAGTTATTTCAAATGTACTGTTAAAGTGAAACCACACATATTGAATATGTCAAAACAGATTCCTCCTTCACATGGCCTCTATTTATGCATCTCTATTTAGCGCTTCAAAATAAGTACAATTTGTTCCTGTGTTACAGAAAACATGTCTGTGTCATGGGATTCCCATGATGCAAACCCTGTTTTTAATGTGACTCCCACACTGTAAGTGGAGACACATCCCTACATAATTCTTTTCAGTCCACAGCCATGTTAAAAACATGTCTCTTTAGCCATCACAAATAACAGTAAAGTAAAGTAAAGGTATCCCTGTAACAGGCTGTGGAGGCCCATAGGGTTGTGAGATGTCGAGGTTCCCACATTTCCTAGACAATTGGCTCATAGATGGTGGCAAGGTTGTCAGCCTTACGCACCGGCCGCCCTTTACCCCCAAGAATATTTCAAGAATACTCCTGGTACTCATTTCTGTTAGACACTGAGTCGACCCCAAGGCCATAGTGTGGCTGGAAGGATTAGGTCAACTGAAAAAATCCAATGACCTCATCGAGACTTTTACCCGCGACCTTCTGGCTTGGAGTATAGTGCCTCAACCAATTACGCTACCACATGCCCCATCACAAATAACAGTAGTACATAAAAATCAACTTAAAATCTCCTTTACATGTACTCGTACTTCCACTGAAATTGATGGCCTCCTGCCAGGCATCTTAAATAAGGATAATAATACACCACACAGTCCAAAATAAGATGGGTATATTAACCATTCCAGACATCCCTCCGCTTCACTGATGAATGCACATATGCTACCCAGTGGCCGGCTATATAAATCCCCAACACAAGCACATAAGCAATCTCAATTTCTCAGCCAGTAATCATTTCTTTAGAAAGAATCAGTTTTGCCTCATTTGTTGTTGTTACTGTTTTGTATTTTATGTTTAAACAAATTGATAAATATCCAAAATTTCCACAAGGACGAATTTATGGTTCACATTGTGAATTTTGTGGCATGTTTTATAATTTCCATATGGGTAAAATTTCATAACCTGATATCTGTAGCACAGGGACCCACTGTACTACTTTAAGGATTCTCTGGTGAACTACTAGGTCCCTGAATAGTCACAACAGAAAACCATACTGACATTCAATTTGGAACAAGAAGAAAGACCCAGCCTCTGTCAAGAACTCTTTGACAAAATTTTAACAATGCTACGAACAAGCTACATTGCTCTTGAACTGTTCCTTCTTCGTTTTGCCTGTGTAGCATTATCAATGAAAAGAAACCTGTTCTGTGTCCTTTTAAAATGCTAACCATCTGCAACACACTCCAAACTCAATTTTTAAATAACCATCAAAACATGAAACATAAAAATGACTGATTAAAATCAATGAAAGTGCAAAAATTTCAATGATGTGTGAAATATCTCACTTGTAAGTGCTGGCTTATCTCTCTGGACTTATTTAATGTTCTGCACGATTAACAATACAGACTTCTCCCATCACTCCTTGACATGAAGAAATAACTAATCATGGCTTTTCAACAACATATTTCATATTATCATGGACAGATGATGGAAGGATTAACATTACTGACATTTCGTGTGGGATACATCTGCCATATTTTTAATTGATGCATGCCTTCACTAGCTCAGGTGGTTAGTCACCAGCTTCCCACTACAGGAGCCCGGGTCTGATCCCAGGTCAGGTTATATTGGATATGTGGTGGGCAAAGTGGCACTGAGACAGGTCTTGAGTACTTAGGTTTCCCTTGCAAATTCTCATTCCGCTTAGTATTCATTAAACATCCTATCATCACTGTATGCAGTCTTAGTACTTTAGCATCTTTAACCCTTTACGGTGGTTTGACGTTTGTCGTACCGTGGTATTTAAATGCCCCTGTCTGTGGTTTCACGTACTGTGTACGTTAAGCTGTAAGCTAAGTTTCGAAATGGCATAAGAATTGAAAGGATCACGCTAGAATTATGCAGTTTGGACTCCCCTGTTATGGAGAGAACGCAGTCGCTGAATGTACGCATGCAACTGCACCTCCTATGCCAGGAAGTCTAAAAATAAACTCGTGACTCACAGTGGTATCAACGCTGACTATAATTTACACATTCCAAACACATGATATGGTTTAGTGGTTAGGAAAGCTAAGAACAAACAGCGCCAGCGGTTGTTTGTGAAACGTGTTGAAAGGAACTGTCCTTTCAGTGGGTGCGTGTTTACTTGAACGAAAGAAGGGTCTATGTCGTCTAANTAGTTCAAAAGCTATGATAATTAATATAATTTAGACACAAAATTTAAATGGCCAACTAAAAAGTAATACCGCCGGAGGCACCACGAAAGCGATTTTTAAATCCCCACGCTCAAGGGTTAAATAACAAACAGTAAGAAGTTGTTGTTGTTCCCATTGTTTGACCAAGAAATAGCTCAGCTTGTACATCTGTAACTATGATGTTCACAGTTTTGATGTGCATGGCTGTAGAGCAAAATTATTGTATTCTTACAATTATGAAGACATACGCTTTGTAAGTTTCACAATGTAACTGTTCTGTTATTTTACGGTGATTCACAGTTTGAATGGGACAGAAATGAAAATAAAAATAGTAGCAGGAAAGCAAGTCACTGAGCCCTGATACAGAAGGAAAGTAATGAGTAACAATGCAGCAACAGACCTGCTGGGAAAAATTAACTTTTCATTACCATGAAATTAATTCACACACTATCATGCACAGTTTTTACTCGCAGAGATATTGGGTTTTCGGACTTTATCCATCGTCCTGGTTTTAAGATAACTAAGAAAAACACGACGTTTCGGAAAATGGATCTGTTTCCGTCCTCACTGGACGATTGAGGGTAGCTCTTTCTAAGGGACCCAACAGAATAGGTGTTTTCCTTCACCTGAGGACGGAAACAGATCCAGTTTCCGAAACGTCGTGTTTTTCTTAGTTATCTTAAAAACCAGGAGGTTGGATAAAGTCTGAAAACCCAATATCTCTGTGTGTTATACACCATCGTCAGAATCCTGTAGTAACTACAGTTTTTACTGTGGCAACAGCAGACCTTTGACTGATCACTGCCAAAAGTTCGGCTGTGGAATATTTTTCAGTAAAAGTTATATAGTGCAGACAGCACATTCATTGTACAAGGAAATTGGTGTCTTTATGTTCACTAGTGGCACAGCAGTAAAGTCTTCAAATTCAACCACTCTCATATATAACTACCAGAAAAGTGATTCCCCATGCACTCCACATGTAAGTTTAATCATCCAAATTTCCTGTACAGCCAAAACTTCTTGGGCCTCACAAAATATCTGGACTGGATAAAACGATCAGTGAGTACAGATTTATACAAAAGACACATTAAGCAGAAACACTTAAACCATTAAAAAGTGCAGCCAGTCAATAAAAGAGCACATTATTTGAGTAACCTTACCTTCCCAGAGTGTTGGATGAATTGATGTTGGAGAAATTGAATGTGGTAGCAAAATTTTTGAGTGAAGCGACTTGTGATCGGGTTAGGCTTGAAACACGTGACCTACTCCCTCTATTCATCAGGCACCAATCAACATGCAAAACAAAACCACGGAAAAAAGCCAGGTTAAGACAGCTCCTTACCCCAGCATACATTTAAACACAAATATTTGAATTCTTTTTCTCAAACTTCACCCCAAATACAAAAGCCTCTACACATCAGACTTCTCATACTTCTAGTAGCCGGTGACTACATAAATATTAAACTTTAAATGCCATATGAAAAATTTTTCCCATACATCAGATTCAAATTTTGTGCTTTGAAGGTTAATACTATTTTCATGCAGTACAGACTGGAATTAATAATGAGGTAGGAAATCTCTTTCAGAAATGGTGAGCATCTATTATGGCACCTTTTGTACCAACAAATCAATTTTTGTATATATATATATATATATATACTTTTTTCAGCAGGAAGAAGCAAATTATTACCAGTGTACATTTCAGTCTGTCTAGACTAATTCTGAGACAGTAGCTTAAAATAGGCTATGGCTTCTCTTCTCCCCATCTTTACTGTTTCACCATTCCCAGTCACCCTCACACTCCATGCCATATGATCAAGTTCATAAACCATCATTCAACAGCACAAGAATCAAACAGGAAGTCCATCTTTTCAGCATGGTCATAAACACAAATGGGTATTATAGTGGAGATGATAAAGTGTACACACAGTAAGGGTTAATTAGATCACACTATATTGATTTTATTTTCTATGTAACTTTTATTCATTAACAGGACACACACATTCAACTCTACTCTCTCAATCACTCCAGGGTTAGACAAACAGTGAGCACTATAAAAATGACTGTGCATGTTCGAAGGTGTGGAGGCAGGGTTGAATACCTCCACCGTGACCCTGTGAGTTGTAGAAGGCAATAAAAAGGGAAGTCTCAAATCTGAGACAGTAAAATATGGTCGCAAGTTCCAAGGGACTCGGACCCAAGAAAGACTGCGCTGGCAAGGGCCAGCAGCACAGGCAAAAGACAGATCTGTCCTCTCATCAGAGAGGGCACCCCGCAAAAATAAGACCATAATTGTCAAACAGTAATAACTGATATCTGGTCATGAGCCCCAGATGGGGCGCGATACCAAGACTTACTGACTGACTGTCAGTCGACTTTGACTTGAAGGTGCTGTGATTCTCTAAACTCACATGACCGGTATCTGAATCAATTCTTGGTTAGACTCATACTGATTGAAAAGTTTTCATGATTTCTTCAGTCTCATTAGACAAATGCAAATCCTTATGAACATGATACTCTTTTCATTTGAAGACTGTAACTTGAGGAGCTCATTCATACGCAGTAACTTAAGAAACACTACTAACTAAATTTAGGGTGCAGAATCTTTCTGGAAAAGTTTATAGCTGGTCAAGACATTTTAATTTTTACTGAACCTGAATGATCATCACTGAATTCACAGATATCCACCACTGGACTCTATCCTGAACAGTTTATTTCAGTCTACACCCTCTCATTCCTTTCTCTTCTCCACATTGTCAAGACCGGTTCTGAGGTCCACCCAACCTCCTATCCAATGGGTACAAGGGGCTTTTTTCCCCGGAGGTAAAGCGGCCGGGGTGTGAAGATAACCACTCACCTCCAGCTAGTGCCAAGGTCAAGAAAATGTGGATCTATATATCCACTCCCCCATACGCCTTCATGGTGTAGTGCTTAATTAGTTAAGGACAGAGGCAACATTACTTTTATCCTCATGTTCCATTTCTCTACAGTTAATTCTAATATTAACCTTCTATTTATGCCTGGGCATCACAAATGCTCTCCCCCCTTCAAATTTTTGGACTAAAATTTTGCACAAATTCTCATCACCCTCATGCATACTCATGTCCTGCCCATCCCATCTTCCTGATTTAATTACACCAATATATTCTAGTGAAGAGCACAAGTTATGAAGCTTCTTATTATGTAATTTCCTCTGTTGCATGTTAATTCCCCCTTTTTAACTCCAAATATTCTAATATAATCTGTATGTATTTTGTTTCAATAAATGGTTACTGTGAAGAAAAAACATTTAGTGTCAATTTTATAATTAAGTTTATTTCAGTCCAATGTGACAGTCACTTGCAGCACAGAGGAAATTGCAACCCAAATTCTAGGTTCAATATAATTATTAAGTTATAACACACACATCCTGTATATACAATTATTTTCCATTACCTCATGCCTGACCTGTGTGTATAGAATAAACAGTACAACATGAAGAAAGTAACGTTGTATGCTGATCAGAGAGGAGAGGGAAGAGCAAAGTGCCACAAAATAATGATCCCTCTTTCTTGATGACTAAAGTATTTGTTTCGCTATCAGATTATAAAAAAAGTGTATGCATGCCTCCATACATTTCTAATCTCTGTACTACATACAGATGAGTGGTCAGCTTCACATTCTGATGGCTTAATCCACAAGGAGACAAGCCCAAGTGTCCACTGGAAAGAATACTGCATGAGCTCTAGAGCTGGTTGTGACATGGTGGCAAATGTAATTCTGTCCCTAGTGGAAATCAAACCGAGTCATCCAGCATGCAGGCAGTCACTATACTTTTCAGTACTTTGTGAAATAAGTAATTTCTTCCTAACTCTGAGGGAAGTCATGTGCAACTAGAGACAAAGATATCAAGGATGAAATAAATAAAACCCCAAACTTGGTTGAATAAAGGTTAACTATGCTTTCTCAAACTTGTAATTTTCATTCATGGAACAATACTCTCAACTTATCATATACATCAAATAATATTATTATTATACGAAACATTAAGTCTCACCAGAATGTCCATTTTAGCTTTTAACAACCAATTTCTTCAGAAGTCATATTCAATAAATATGAGGTGTACTAGAAAGTTCCAAGACTGTTATTGTTGTAACTCCCTTGGTGCAAGATGAGAGGGGAGGCTAAGGTCACGCTTCCGCAAGACTGTTGCATCAGTCTGCCATGTGTAAAAATCGACAAGCAACGTAAGCAGACACAACAGCGTAAGCTTGAATAAAGACTACATATCCAATAACATACTCAACATACCCAACTATGACCCAACACCAAATACCAACATTATAAGCAACATAAGAGAAGACAGTTACATTGTAAACACAACATTGTTGAATCAAGATAATGGCCAAAAAACTGAAACATAGTCACGAACAATAACAAACCCAACACGGCCTTATTTAAACTCAGGATTTATGCAGAATATATTTCTATAAGCCTAATATTTTAAGATTTTAACAAGTTTAAATGCTTATTTGTTACATTTTAAACGAATTAAAGTTCAGTACAGAACCACCTAATTTGTGCACATAATGGTGAATAGTAAAAGTGAGAGAAGCACACTGTATTATCACTTTATTCATAATATACGACTAACAACAATATATGGATCCATATAGAAAGCATAATTCAACAGTGTAAGACTTGTTTATGTATCGCCTGATGATGGTTCCATAAGCAAAAAATGTAGCAACGCTGTACAACCAAATAAACCTGGATATGCACAGTGGAATGTAACTGAGTTATTTGATGTTTGTTTCTGTTGTGTTTCACAGGTAAAATGAAAACTCACATATATATAGTACAAAATTTGAACATGTGTCACCTTGCTGCGAAGTTTATTCCCAAACTCTTGACAAATGACCAAAAGCAATGGTGCATAAACGTGTCTTGAGCTATGAAAGAAAGCTAAAGAGGGCCTGACTTTTATCTTTGGGATCATAATGGGTGATGAAAGGTGGACCCAGAAACAAAGAAACAATCATTGCAGTGGAAGAGCCCACAACTGCCAAGAGCAACAAAGGCACGGCAGGTCTGGAGTTCAGCAAAGAGCAAGGCAAATATATCCAAATGGGAAAGATTGAAAATTCTGAATGAAGAAATGTGTGTGAGCTTATCGCACATTTGCCCAAATATTCAAGAAATCTTCAACTCCCATTAAGCACATTCATTTCATTAATTGTAAATAAAAACTGTTCCATATAGGCATTATTATTTTGTAAGCCTTTCTATTGCTAAACTGTCCAATTAGTGAACTCCAGGAACATTTTGTTATTTTTATTATAAACAGATACAGATTTGGTTTTGCATTTTAGATGCTTCTTAATTCAGTTTTTTAAATATGAATGTTAAAATGTTCTGTTATGTGTTACTTGTATTAAATAAGCCACACAGAAAGATTACTTTATTTTTGCTATGGTTCAAAAATACCACTGTCACTCAAACAAAAAACAGAACAAACTCCTTGGTTTTAGTCTGCAAGCGAACTATATTGACTGACCAAGCAAATGCCGCTTGTCGGCGAAGTAGTTAGTTATTAGATAGGGTGGGTTTCCCCATGCACTTAGACCTGTAGTGGTCCATTGTGCTTCCCTCTATGATTTCTACCAGCCTCTATATCCTGCCGGTATTGGTGCTTACCATCAGTCCCGCCCAGCCAGCGAGACCGGCTCTACTGGCTGAGAAGTATCTATAATGCTTCCCCCATCTACCGGAGGTATTAGTGACTGCTGTTGGGCGGCAAACGTCCGCAATTTTGCTCAGTGACCTCCTTTGGAGGTGTGAGGTTCTTCTACGTGCCATAAAGCTACAACACGGGACCCACGGCTTAAAGTCCCTCCTGGAGGACTTGTTCCCTGAATTTTTCTGCCCTTAAAAATTCGATGACCTCCGCCGGGTATTTGAACCCGCGTACTACAAGTCATGAGATGGGAACGTTACCTCTAGACTACGGAGGCCGCTTGTCGGTGAAGTAAGTGCAAACTTCAGCAGATAGAGGGTGTCATGTGGTCTGCTCAATGGATCCCCACAGCCATTAATAGCATTTCAACTATTTTTGGTACTACAAGTATCCAAAAATTTTTTTAAATTCTTATTACGTTGAGGATGTATGGTAAATCTACGGAACACATTAGAATCCAGTGAAATGGATTGAAATATCATAAATATATATTATCATCTGAAAGTGAATATATGCATTAGGCCCATGCAAGTTATATTTCAGATAAATGTACGTACTCTGATGATGTAAGACTAACTTCAGACAGTCGATGATTATCCGTGTGCGTACTGGCACTACTGAACTGCCGCCTCATTGTCACAAACTTTGCATTTTCAAACTTTAAGTCACATGTCTGCAAGAACAATTCATCACTTGTAAACATATAACATAATACGTGACAAGGAATAAATCCATGAAAAATATTTATATAGTAAGATGCAAAAAGAATGCAAGGAAATGTTTGTTTTTTGAATTTGACATCAGAATAATTTACAATGAAGGACACTATAGACACAACAACAAAATCACATTTTCCAAAACCAATAAAGCAGTAGAGTTCAATTCAGTTTTTGCAAGACCATCAATGTCATTAACATGATCCTACACAACTTTTGCAGTCTTCTGTATTATACTCTGAAGATTCTTCCTCTAGCTATGAAGGCTATTGTACATTATCTACCTGACTATAAAAGAAACAAGTGATAGGCATATGCATGCCATGACATGTAGCAACATGTCTAGTAAGTGCACCTGTTTAATGCCAGATCAGTTACTCAAATGTATTTAGAATGAATGGACATTGAAGCAAGCAGTGGTTTCTTACTTTCTCTAAAATTTCTTTCTGATGTAGTGTTCTTACTTTTCTGAATTACATTCTGGCAGACTGCTAACATCCTGAGCAGACAGCCTTTGCCATCACCATACTATTAAGTGTGTACAGGCCAGAAATTTTTGTTGTCTATGTCAGTATTGTGTTTGGGCAAAGGATTATGGTAAGTTTTATGGTCATGTTATGTTTTGAGCTTGTTAATGCCTGGTTTAGGGTGTACTATTGTATTTCTCTTGTTTTAATCTTACAGACTTACACTGCATAATTTCTTGAGACCTGTCTTGTGTCTGTTTTTGTAACTGCTGTGGAAATAGGTTATACTGCAGTTTATCAAGTTAGAATTCCAGAGTTATGCTGCTTATACACAGATGCTCATTTCATGTTAGTGAACTGTAAGCTCTTCTGCTTCCTGGCCGGGCTACTTCAGTGTAGCCTGGTTACATTCTGTTTCAGTCCGTATTAGTTATTTTACATATGTCTTGGTTTACTTTGTATTTCTGTGCCTAGTCTAGTTAGGTTCCACCATTTTGTTTGTGACTTGTCACACACCTTACACAATTCTGTATTACTGATGCCTTGTTATTATGTGTATTTCTGGTTCTCTGTTTCACTTCAGGCTATTCAGTGTGCTCACTCTTATTTTTCTACATATAATCAGTTATTTTTTTCTTTTCACTGCCTCATGTGTTCTCTACCATAGAGCTGATAACTATCACCTGCAAGCATCTGCCTCTTTTGCTCCCTACATCAGGGACCCTTCAGTTCCCAGTTTCTTTGCCCTTATTTCTTTCTGCCAGATGTTTTTCTGGTATTTTTATACTACACCACTTGTCCACCTCAATGCCCCAGTACATTCTTGGGGATATATACCCATGACAATTTGGAGATGACATAGCTTCAACACTAATGTATTCCACTTACTCTGGATGCTGCAATCTCCAAAACAAGACGACAAATACTGATGAAATTTATTACTGAAGGGTCTACACCAAAAGACATCAGTGAATTTAATTTTGGTCTATACCATTCCAATATAATTGTACTTTATACTGCAGATCAAACATAACTTACAACTTCCTTATTAGTGGTTCTCCTTATAAGAAGTGTGTACATTATAGTATAAAATACAGGCCTCTCTCAGATCAGGAGCTGGGATAGCGCAGTTTGTATAGCGACTGGTTATGAGCTGGATAACTGAGGGGTCAGAGTATTGCATGCACTCTACTGATGCACTTTCCCAACAGCATGTATTAATATACACTGCAATTACCTTTTTTCCATATTTTGACTCCACATGATTTTGCATTTCAGCAAAACATTCCTCAAGTCGTTGCTGAAAGGGCATAAGAGAAGGAGGTGCCCTCTGACGATGAATTTGAATGCAGAGCTCTAAGAGTGGAATTTGTGATGCAATCAGATCTTGCAGCTTGTTGATAAGCACTGCATCTTCTGGGTGTGCTTCCAGGTACTGAGTTGTAAAGAATGCCTGCATACATAAATGATGATATTAAATATATGGATGTCCCACAGAATGTCTTCACAAAAATAAAATAAGATAAATATCCCACTACTTCTACAGGTAACTTTTCACAATGAATTTTCCACTCGTACATGACGGATTATCCCATACAATCAACACAGGTGGTAGACTTCTCTGACACAGGCGTACAAAACCTTATTCCCCAATACAAGTACCTCAATTCCAGCGGTGACCATGTTGAGAACTAGCTTAAGTATGTATGTATTTTTTGTATAGAATAATTTTTTTTCTCGTGGCTTGTCCACTGCCACGCATGCACATATGACATATGTGTGTGTCCATGAAATACAGCAGGGCTGAAATTCAACAAATTAATGCAAGTACTGGGTTTATTTTTTAAATCTATGTATACCTCTATTAATGAATATGAATTCTTTTCTTTTCATAAAAACAAGCAAATGTAATCATTCTTCTTTTCAAACATCCTTTACATCTGCTGGCAATGTGAGTGAGCATTTAAATGCCCCTAAGCTCAAAGTGTTAACCTTTACACTAAGTTGCATGATGAGTTTTTACTAATTCTTCCACGAGTTATATCATGTGTAATCTCATACAGTTAACTCCAGCAACAACGATCCAGCATCTTGTACCATATTTTGAGAGCTCTCATTTTAAAAATATAGACCTTTGCGGAACTGAGACTCCAGTGACATACTGTTTTACAAGCAGCATACAAATTGTACTAACTACATAATCTTCATCTTCCATAAATCTAAATTTAAAAGACACAGCAGAAACCTGGAGTAACACAAATTTGAAAAGTACTCACTTTCTCGTAGTTTGTTACGCCGCCCATCACGGCAGCATCGACAATGCCATTGATCTTCAAACTCAGTGGATTCAACTGCAGAGTAGGATCACTTCGGTGTGCTATTATAAGGTCACGCAGAGCTTTGTTTGTGACTTCCATTGTCTCAATAGCATTTTGCAATGGAGATACCTATAAAAGTATAATATTGTGACATGATAGCTGAAAGCTGGAATAGCGAAACAAAAAAGAGGCGACTGTTGCTATGCAACCATGTAGTAAACACATCCCCATGGCAATGAATAAACATGCAACACCAGAGAAACTATGGAAGTGATGTTTTCAATGTGGTCCATGGCAAGTTTATATAACAAGAACCAAATGGAAAAGTGAGTCAGTCAACAGCCAGTCAGGGGTCAGAGTCAGTGGTTAGCAGTCTTGAGTTGCATTGTTAGCAGCCACTACCTAGCAACAACTAGTGACAACCAGAAGAATTATGTGGGCTGTAGTTGTAGTGATCTATACTGTGTGTGAATCAGTGAGACTTTTATAGTTATCTGTAGGTATAAGTGTTCAATAAATCTAATTATCAGGGCCCAGATTTTGATGACCTGAAAATATGACCTATAAAATGACCAGAAAAATCCAGAAAAATGACCTAAAGGAGAAAAGAGAGAACACTTCGCTTCCATGTTATTCACATTTCAGAAAACATATGAAGAAATATTCCCTAAAATGGCAAAATATGACAAGAAATACCCTTAAAAGTCCAAAAATTTACCAAAAAATTACCTAAAAATGTCAAAAAATAACAAAAAATTACCTATAAAATTTACATTTCTGTAACCAGCAGCTCATATCTGAGATTTATATATTTAAGAGCATCACATAGGATACAAGGAAAAAAAAAAAGATGACATGTCATCAAAATCCGGGCCCTGCTAATTATCAATCCAAACCCCGTATCTAGTCACCGGCACATGATAATACGGTGTACTCTTAAAATTTATGTTACTGCCTGTACCTACAAAATTAAAATGTTCATAACTTCCTTTTTTGAAATTCTCAAGCCCAATATCACACCTCAACTTCACTAAGTTCAATCCTGTTCATATCTCCACTTTGTCTCAATATTATTCTACCATCTACATCTCCATTCCCTGGTCTATCCACAAATAATATCATATTCATTTCTTGTTTCCCATATACAGGCTAAGAAACCTACAAACTTCAACCTCTGATTCAATCATAATAAAATATTACATGAAGAATACAAACTGTGAAGTCTCATATTGTGTAATTTTCTGAATTTCCTTGGCTCTTTGTTTTCAAACCACGTAGCCATCTTCCAAGTGAGCTACGCATTAGGGTCTAAAAATCTGTTACAATGGTATTGTGGCGTATTTGCAGAAGCTATTTAACGAGAGTATTTGTCAGTGTTGAGGCAGTTACAGTAGCTGAGAGTGGCGTAAGCAAGCAAAGTGGAACCAGGAATACAGATGGTCGCCTATGAGGATGTTAAGTGTGATTTAGAAGACTTTGTGTGTGCAACGGTGCATGCAACAGTGGATTATGAGGTGCATGTAAATCATTATCTAAGTGTAATTAAAAGAGTGTGTGTAACTAAGCTGTTAATAAAACCAATCATTCAAACTAGAACAAATCGTTTTGTCACACGTACCCCCTACACATGACAGTATATTAATAATACAATTATAGCCTTTCTGGATATTATCCATTGGCCTGTTTTTTATTTAAAAATCGTTTCAGAGACTGGACTCTGCCTTCATCGTCAGGTAAAAGCCTACTTAGTTGAGCCCAGTAGACAGAGTTAGTCCCTATCTCCTGCCATCAGTACCAACACAAGAAAAGGACATATAAACCACACATAACATAAACTATCAATGGAAGTTAAAAATGACGGGACAGTCTATCCACCTATAAAATCAGAGATAAGATAAAAATAGACATACATATAGATACAACAAGCAATGAAGAACAAAAATTTCTATATACCAAATAAGACAAAAAAAAACCTAAATTAGGTATCTGTGCAGTACCAACATAAAAAAACATTTTTTTTTAATGCCCACCTTAACTCCTGCTGATGGTTTATGTTGTATGTGGTTTATATGTCCTCTCTCATGTTGATAGTGGTATCCAGAGATAGGGATCAGCACTATCATTTGGGCCCAACAGAGTAGGCTTATATATGAGGATGTAAACATAGTCCTGTCTCCAAATAGTTATTTTTAAATAAAAAAACAGGATGGATAATGTCCAAAAAGACAACAATTGTAAGTACAAAGAGCTCTCTTCCTAAGATAAAGCAGTTGAACAGGAGGCTGATGATGTAGTGCTTACACGCTCAACCACAGGGACAGCTTCACAAGATATTACAGACTTTGTATGCAAGGACATAAGCATGGTTAACACTGCTCTTCAGCAATATGACTAGCTGTCTCAAAAATTAAATTCTTCACCATAAATGACAATTTCCAGCTGACAAATTTAAGAGAAAAAAATTATTTTACCTGGTATGTATCTGTGGAAGTAACTGGAAACCAACGGAGAATTCCAGGCAATGGATATGATGTGACTAACACTGTACGTTCCAACCAGAGACTTGCAAATTCATTATCTCCGTCACCACCAGACAGTTCCTTACGATGAATGGGCCGGGAGAAACGAAACTTCTGTATGTCATTCACCCTAACAACACCAAAAATATTCCACTGAATTTAGGTTCCTCCTTCCCTTGAATGCTCATCATCAATGATGACAGTCACATTACAAACAGATTGCAGGTCAATCATATATCATCAGATTCATTTTCTTCTTTGGCTCTCATTTTACACCTTTCTGAGTAATTTCTGTTGTATAGAGTTGACTGAGAAATATGGCTCAAGCTATAAGCCTCCTCAGCTTCATCATACACAGTGCTCTTATCCTGGTCTGATGCAGCGGTTTTTTCTATTCGTCACCAAGATCAAGGAAAATAAGATAAAATTCAAAGCATTATTGTTATACATGTGAAAATGACTTTACCTGTGATATCGTAGGATCTGATCGTTGATGGGTTTTCCAGATAACCGCTGCTTACGATCATCCATTAGTGGGTCAACTTTGTTAATCTGAACATCTAAATAAATGTTAAGGCATACAATATTTGAAGAGACAAAACTTTCTTTGTTGGCTTGTTGAATTCATGATTTAATCTTTGGGGTACCGTTTATATTTTGACATTAAGGGAAGAACACAGAATGAGAGTGCTTGACAGCAGGTACTGGGATGAATATTTGAACTGAAGAGGGATTAAATTATAGGAGGCTGGACAGAACTGTATGAGGATCTCTATAAGTTGCAGTCTTCAGCAAACATGATTACAGTGATAACATCTAGGAGGAGGAGATGGGTAGGCATATACAATAGACCGCATGAGAGAGAAGAGGAACGCACACAAGATTTTGGTGGGAAAGCAATAAGAAAAGAGACAACTAAGAAGACCTAGCTGACATAGGAGAGAGGATAATATTAATATGAATTTTAGACAAATAAGATGGGGTGGTATGGACTGGATTGATCTGGCATGGGGCAGGGACCAGTAGCAGACTCTTGTGAACATGGTAATGAACTTTCAGGTCTCATAAAATGTTGGTAAATTCTTGAGTAGTTGAGCGACTGGCTTCTCAAGAAGGACTTAGTTCCATGGTATTACTTAGTAACACCATTTATATTCTTCCCCAACAAACTCACAACTGCAACAGAAACAAACAGTCAATTAAGGCCACTGATCTTTGGTCCTATCTGATTTTCCTGGGCTTCTCTGGTGGCATATCCTATGCAAAGTGAACAAGCTGAGGGGATAAAACATTCCTCTGTTTTAGCCCATCATGGACTGAAGAATCATCAGATAAATGTGTATCTGTATACAAAGTAGTAGACACTTGAAGCATGCACATACAATATGCCCCAAAATTTACAGTACTGAAATGAAAAGACATCCTGTTGATACCACTGCCTATTCATGTGAAGGCCCCTTGCACAACAGAACCTTCTCAAATCCTGAAGGACTGGTCCGATCACCATGTCCCTGTAGCATTCTTGGGTGATGGTAAGAGCATTTCCTTCCTCATCCTCAATGAAATAGGGGCCTAATATACCGTGTGCTGAGACGGCATGCCATATTGTCACATGTGTACTATGTAGCGGTTTCTGGACGATAACATCTGGCCGCTCAAAACCAAGGAAGCGAGTTGTCTGGTGACCACTTTCTTATGAGCGGAAATAATACCAGCACCTCTTAAAACCACCTCCATTTCTCTGGGAGCCATGTTGGCAACAACTGACATGGATATTTATGGATAAAGTGTAAGCAACAAGAACACAGCTAATCCCGTACGATCACAAGGTGGGAGATGCGGGTGGGGATGTCTGCTTCTCATCCCTATGTGCTGTGTATGTATTTTTTTGCCTTAAAGAGAGAGAAAGAAAAAACTTTTATGCCTGCAAGTTGTTCATTGTAGAGTAAATGAAGTTTGCTATGTGAAAAATATGTACAAATTAACACGATCCACTGTAGTAAAAATTCATACAATGAGGGATACCTGTACATAATTGAGGACACAGCTAACAAAAGGATACACTGGTGTGGAGACTCCATGATATCTTCTCCAGGGGGAGTCAGTTTGTTCATGAGTTCTGCATTGGGTAACTGGTTCAAAGTCCGACTGCTAAAATCACTCAGACGCTCGTATTCTTTCCCACGGTAGACAAAAACCTGAAAGGATGTGGACAAGAGCTGATACAGTGGTTCCCACTTAAGAAGATCCCTTTTAAGAGTGATTCCCACCTAAGAAATTAAAATGAATGGGTCCCAAAAATAACAAACTAGAAATAATATATTCACAACATGTATAGCTAGGCAATGGCGCAGTAAATATCTCCTCACATAAGCGCATTCAATAATAGGACGGATGTTTATAGCTTATTGCTAGGCAACAGTCATCATGCCAATGGGCTGGTGAGATGGCTACGTGACTGGCTTTCTATGGAGTCCATGCCATGACTGTTGCTATGCAATGGTTCGGTGAGAGCATTACAAGAGACGCTGTGTTTTCTGTGTGGTCCATGCCAAAGGCTTATAAGAGAAGTGAATTCAGCATGATAAATTCAGTCATAAGCTGGAGGAGTGAATTGAAACTAGGAGTACAAGAGAGTACAGGAGGTCAGCCTGTGAAGACTTTATGTGTGCGGTAGTACAGCGATATTGGAAGTGTGTGATCCAGTGAGACTATTATAGTTTGTGTGTTCAGATCTGTTGCCAGGAGACAACTAGTAAAGACTGGGAATCCTAGTGTGTGTGCAGCGGTAAAATGTGAAGTGTGGAAATCAGTGATAGCACTGTATTGCCTGTATTTGAGTGTGATTAAGAGAGGTTGTAACCAAGGTTCTAATAAATCCAATCATCCGAACTAGAACCCGCCATTCTTGTCAAGCATACCACCTTACACGTGACAGTATTTAACACTTTTCACACTGTATACAGACCAGAATTTAGGTACTTACATTAAATCACCACAGCTGATGAGACCAACTCATTATCAACAGATCAGCATAGCATTTCTGTCATCACATGGTATAAAGTGTGAGACATTCTGATGTTTAAGGTGAATGGGCTTTTGCAGGATACTTATTTGCTGTTGTTTAAAGGTCAATTAAAGAAATTATTGTGGGTTTCTACATGCAACTGCATTCATCTGTAAGCAAGCATGGTATTTCTAGCAGGCAGTGATATGGAGGGGCTTCATAGTCTAAGGGTTAAATCCCATTTAAGACTTTTCTCACTTAAAAAATATTTCCACATAAGAGGGCCAATTTAAAAGCATTTCACAGACATATTACTCATTCAATAAATTTTAGTTAGATTATGTTATATGCAGAAATGAATGAGAAACAAAGCAGATATTTACATATGTCAACACCCTGCTAATGGTCAGTGAGTGGAACTGGTTGTAACTTCCTAACAACAGTCTGTTTAATACTGCCTCTATTGTTCTCTTCTTCCATCCAGTGGATATGGCTTGTAACATGGTGTATGTATACTAGCTTATGTACAGTTAACATACGTGACCAATCTCATGGAATTCCACAGAAACATATTCACATGTAATATATACTGCTGTGTTATATAGTCAGTATCATATACAAATATCATAGTGTTAAACACAGCCACAGAATCTAGCATGGAATATAATGGGGTGTCAGCTTCTCAAAAAGTGGAGATCATTAAGAAAGTTGATAATCCAATAGATATGATGTTTACAAAGACAACAGAACATGTCGGCATACCAGTTTTAACACTAAACAATACTACGCTAAATAAGAAATTTAATGAGTAACTACCCAATCAGGCAGAAAAAGGTTAAATATTTCTAAACATGGGATCAACGAGCAAGTACTAATACAGTGGTTCAGGCAGAAACAGGTATTAAATATGACAATTTAAGCCATTTGTTAAAGATAAGGTTGAAGCGATAGCCTTCAAATAAAATGTTCAATTCACACCGTAAAATGGATATACCACCAAATTCCGAAAATGTGCAGGGCACATCTACAATCCAAAATCCAAAAGTGTAAATGATGAAGATTAAAAGCCTGGAAGAAATGTGTGCCTCCATTCCTTCAGAAGAAATACAACCCAATGGAGACGAGTGTGGGTTATTTCTGAACTTATTTCCATATGACACCTGAAGTTTCACAAATGGAAACTTCCATGGGGACATGAGATGTTACATGTAAATTTACTGGACCGGTATGTATAAATATGGACAGATGTGAAAAGCAGCCGTGGTTGGTAAGTAGGAATTCACAGAAACCAAGGTCCCTGCCATGTACATACAGATATATCTAAGGGCCTCCATACACACACAGTTTGGCCTCCAGTTCGGCCTGCACAGTTGAAGACGGACAGGCAAAACTGATGTCTGTGGTGCGGCCGGCCGGCCGGCCAATCATTTGAACTGTTGGCCTGTGGGAAACCCGTCAGCCCGTCAGTTCTACCTGCAGGACCGTAGCACGTGACGTGTGTGACTCAGCATTATAGGCTGGAAGACCGTGACTGTGGCATGAAGCCTGCCAGTTTATCTGCGCGTGCATGGGGAAGGAAAGGAAGGGGGTAAACTGTGAAAGTTTTGCCAGGAAGGTCGATCGGAAGGCCAAACTGTGTGTGTATGGGGGGCCTAATGCATGGATGGGATGTCTGTTGTTTATGGAGTTCCTAGCATCCCTTGAAAAGAGAATGGCCATTAAGAACTGGAATATATTCTGTCTGTAGACAGCATAGACAACACTTCAAGCATGTCCATCACAAAAGAAAAGTACAACTAGTATTTCTGCTGACCAACATAAAAGCATCCTATAACCAATGGACCAAGGGATAATAGCAACTGAAACAAAGATGCATGTCCCTACGGCGAATCACAGCCGCTTCAATGCAACAGAACGCTGAAATATAATATACCTTAATACTTTAATGGAAATGAGTTTTGCCTTACATTAACTACTTGCAAGATCTTTCATATCTACACTATATTACATTATACATATAAGGCAGCATTTTTCACTGAAGAGACAGATAAATCACTTACCAAATGCTCAGGCTTTTGAATATACAGTACATATTCGAGCTGCCTTGGTTTAAATTGAGAGTCTGTTGCCCTGTTTTTTCCTGAACTTACCATTTGTTTTACTTTTGTGCTAGATTTGGAGTATATTCAATTTAAGGTTCTCAGAGTAGTGACTATGAAATGCTCTGTCTCCTGTGGTATAATGTCATGTAGTCTGGTGAGTAAACCATTTCGGAAGAATATACTGCCTCCATCTTCAGGGTCAAAGAGTAAGCAGACTGCTTGCTGCTTGCTTGGCTTACTCTGTGATCCTACAGGTGGAAAGCAATATGTTCTTCTGAAACACTGACTGACTTTCACAGACTACAGAGCGTTATATTCCATAAGATAGAACTCTTCTGATTTGGAGTGTGGCTTTCCAGTTTCCAAATATTTCTAACAGCTGACTCTGGCATGTCAGATATGCCACTAAGGAAGTGGAGGTAGATGTCCAAATGCTGCACTGCTTTTCCACACGTTGGAATTGTTTCTTCCTACAGGGGGTAATGCACCCAAAGTGTCCTAAATACTGTATACTCCAATGCCCCGGTACATCTGACATTGCTTGCACAAAAGCAACTCACAAAATAGGGCATCATGGTGCTTACCCATCCACCAAATTTTCCTAATCATGAATAACATGAGTCTTCTGTTCTTTCCCAGATGGCTGACCTGCTGAAAAATTGGACTGAAGCAGTTTTTAAGACAACTATGCAGGGACTGTACTCGATGACTATCCAGAAAGGTCTCAAACATCTATTGAAAAGTTAGCAGGATTGTATAGCTGCTCAAAGACAGTATTTTTAAAACTATGGAATTTAAATGCCCCTTTTAGGAGATTTATAAGGTGGCTTGCAGAAAAGTTTTATACAACAATTAAAACACTAGCAGAATTGTGTAGGTGCTTAAGGATGGTATGCTGAAGACGACTTCATCTATCTTCTCCTCAAACCCACAAGATTCGATACACCTCTCCCAGAACTTTAAAGCTGCCAAATGCATGTTTCAGTTGCATACATACCTTGTTCTGGAGAAATGCTGGGAAGCCTCGACCATAGTATGCAACACGGAAATATTCTGGTTCTGGCCGTATCTGCTTCATGATGCTATCATAGAAATGTGACTCTTTCTTCAGTAGCAAGCTCAGTTGTTTGTAGTCAAACACTTCTTCTTCATACTGACTAGCCAGCTCCTTACACACAGCTATAGCACATTCCCACATCTGTAAACAAGATGTTGTAGAAAAACGTTCAGATTCTTAACAGGATTGCCCACAACCTCCGAGTGCAAGGGGCAAGGGGACAAAGGATATGTGACCTCTCAAACCAAAACATCAATAACTAATGGTTATATGGAAACGTCTGAGAGTTCTTCACTAAATTAAACAGATTTATATATTTCCAAATCCAAGACTTCATACGTTCATAATTCTTCATTTCTGTGGAAGAAAACAACTAGAAATAACTGAAAAAAGAACTCGCGAACACTTACATAAACTGTCTTCATAATATCATCATATAAATTGACTACACTGTGGGTTCTGGTCAGAAATGGATTTATTAGACACCACTCCATCTTATTTGCAAGTGATTAAATTGGCTGGTTCATTCCTGTTGCTTCTTTCTCCCCCTTCTTTGTAGTCATCCTGCTTCCTCACTGCAATGTCACAGGAGACTCACTGACTGAGCAGAGAGTAGCAGCAATTTGCTACTGGCCTTCACCAATGAGCCATTCTTGGTTCAGAGCACCATTGGTTTTCATGGCCATATTTTCACATCATCCCACTCTGCTGACATGTTGAATGTGAAGTGATGGAGTGGGGGTGATGAAGCTTGTGTTTACTTCTCCACACTGCCCCTTATTTATTTCTTGAGTCCCAGTCAATCTTCACTCAGCTGAGCTACTGCTCTCTGTAAACGCAACACGACTCACCTGCCCTGAAGATGGAGGCGATACGTTCCTCCAAAACGTCGGTGAAAACCAAGAATACACGGCACCAGATCCCAGAAGACGACTTTCTTTACTTATAGTTCATTTAATAACACTGGCAGGAACTCAATTCAAATAGCGTCAAGAAAAAAATAAATGACAAATAATGAACTGGAAAGATGTGGAAAGAAGCAGCTAAGACATAATCTGGGGAATCACATTAGCATTTCCTTTAACAGACTATGGAAAACTACAAAAAATCCTTAGTCATGATAGCCATATCCTGTGCACAATTTGAATCAGTCTCAGCCTAAATAGAAGTTGGAAATGTTGATGCTTGAGCCAACTTGCTCCGTGAAACTTCAAGGAAAACTGCTGAGAAGTTTTAGGGGGAATATATATATAAGAGCAGACATTAGCACAGAATACACAAAAATTAATGAGAACAAATAGTAATACCTTACCTTTCCTTTGTCAAAATAATCAATGATATCATAGTACAATGCCTCCTTGAGTTCTCTGTGTGTCTGACATGTGGGGTATTTATGGCTCTTCAGCAAGGGAGGCAGAGGTGCATCAGACCAGTGAAGAAGCTTACTATGCAACTTCAGTGTATACGCAGCTTCTGTGTAATTGTCACACTCAAGGTGCAAATCACAGAGTTTGTTCACATAGCGGATGTACATCTCTTTGCGGTTGATCTCGCTGTAGAAGTCCTGTTTCATGAGGAATCCAAGAAAATACAAAGATTTTTATAATTTATGTGAACTCAGGTGTCAGGCTTCAGAACAAAATAGTATTTCATGGTTTGCTGACATAAAACTTGCAGAATGTGGTGGCCAGTAATCACAAGGATTAGAAACAATTAATTTTCAGGCATGACATTTGTTCTGAAGTCACTGTAATAAACCATTAAAAGCAGTAAGACACAAAGATTCAAATATCTTTTTCTGTCCAGTAACATTTAATAAAACTTCCCTTTGAACATAATCTGATATACACATTTCTTCACAACTAACACCCTACTATTTAAACTTCCCCGAGTTAAAATCTGGCAGCCAGCCCAAGATTGCAGTCCCTAGTGCCAGCTGATAAAGGCTAATGAATCTCTGGGGGAACGACTTCTATTATACTAATCTGAGTTTTCCACTAAATAAAAGTTATGCAAAATTATAACAAGAAATTGTTCAGTTTGTTATAATACTTACTGTACACAATTATGATAAAAAATGCATTTACACAATAATTAAAAAAACTGTTTCTAGACAAGTAAATACAAATACATAATCAAAAATACGAAATTAATTCATAAAATAACTGACATGTGAAATAAACACGAAAAGAACCCACAAAAAAATCAAACAATATGAGCCAAGAAACCAGGTGGTTTCAGTGTGGGTTAAATATGCAACATCATATGCCAAAGAGTGTTGTGCAGTAATGAATTCTGGCAGAGAGAAAACATCAATACTGACTCTTGTTTCAACCACAATCAAACTAACAGAAATATCAGTTCTCTAAGCTGAAAATACCTTACACTAAATGCAGATTTGCTACATCAAAATTAACTTAATATGGGGAAATAATACATTTCTTATAATATGCTTAGGCTAGGGCCAGAAAAAAATATTAATTGAATATGGGATTTCACTAAATGTAAGAACACTGGATCAAGATTTTGCTGTACAACCAATGCGCTGTTAATAAATAATATTTATGATGCTGATAAGACAGGATATTTTCATGATTTTCAGTACAATCATAAAATGCTAATGAAGAATGCATAAAAGACAAACTTTATGGAAAAAGGGCACATACATCAGTGTGTTCAAAGATGATTAAGACATGTCACTTTCATGCAAAACACATTTACATCAGATGGAAGGATTCTTTATACGCTGTAAAGGCCTAGCAGCTTACTTGTAGTTGATGTGAGAGTTTACTGTAAATGTTTCTAATGATGTGACACACTTCGGTGGTTATGACCAACAGCTATCAGTATCTGAAAACCCTGAACCAAATGAACGGCTAAAGGAAAATGCAATAATAGTGCATACTCACAAGAAGGTTGACAGTGCAGCTCATGCGATTTTCCTTATTTTCATCTGTGATGATGAAACGGTACTCCAGTAATCGCTCCATAAGACGAGTCACAGTTTTCACAAACTTCATACCCTGTGATAACATAAAATATGTATTTATCAACACAACAATGCACTACATAATGTTAACACAATTTAAGATTTCATCACCTTGGCCAGTACTTTATGGAACCACGTGACTACTATGATGCCCCATAAACAAAGTCCTATATTTCATTTGAAGAATAGGACCAATAAAGGGTTAATCAAATGGGAAGCACAACAGATCATTGAAGGTCGCAGTGCAAGGGTCAGATTATTGTGGCCATCTCCTCATACATACATTCGTTTGTTCAAATTTCTTCCTTAAAATGAAAATGTCACAACATCAGCAGTATTAATCCAGTCAGTAGAAATAACTGTCCAATCTAAAAAAATTAAATGTCTTGAAAATCTTTTGTAAAATTGTTGAGTAACAAGTTTCATGAAAATCTGTAAAATGTTTCTCAAGTTGTTTCATTGTACAGACAGCTGAATGGACTATGTGAATTCAATAAGAACATTGCATTTTTCTAACACCTCCAGAAAAGGCACATAGATACATCACATGCCAGATTAACAGGAGAATACTGCATGTTAGATCAGTTTCTGTTCCATTTAGAACAGAAATTATTTCTGAAATTCCATGTAAGACTTTAGATGTGAGGCAGTGGCACGATCAAATGTTTGGAAAGGGAGAAAGGGGAAGAGAGAAATTTCCAGAAGAAGTAATAATCGGGGAAGGGGTACTTTCACTTTTCATGGAAGGTGTTCACCAAGAAAAAAATTAAATCACTACCACAGGTCATTTCATTCACTGTAATAGTATGGACAGAAGAAATCATACACTGCTTCTTCTGAATCCAAAATTATGCTGTATCACAAATTCATATGTTTTACTTTTTTACATGTACAACTTGTTAGGTTATATTATACAGCAGATGTGAGTATGAAAAGTATTAAGAATGAATAAGATGGAATAACATCTGAAACTAAGATGATACACAAGACTATGAAAAAAAATTGTACAGGCACATGTTTTGAAAGAATAATAGGATCCTTTCAGAGGGTCGAAGAGAAAGATTTTGAATAAATGCCCCACAAGGAAATAAGGTGGTGAGAGAAGATATACAGAAGTGAACAGAGAAAAGACAGACATGTAAAAGAGAAATATTTATGATGAATAGAGAAGGATTTGTCATCAGACTCATTATGACAAAACAGTGAATATTGACAATGAGAACTAGGACCTACACATCTTACCTGATCCCTCATAGTGGAATGGTTCTCACAACGATCCAGCATAATTTCTCCAAACAGTTCTTTATAGTGTTCATCTCCACGTCCCCCTTCCACCAGGATATCAAGCTTGGCAATCATTTCATTCTCAAACTAAAATTTTAATAAGAACTGACAACTACAAACAATTACTACTGGCAGTGAATACATTAATAATATTTTCTTACACCGGTAAATTTTCGGTAGACTCCAGGATCTCAAATGTGCTCTTATTGCATGGGTACAATTCATTATTCAGATGTGAGCTAGTAAAAAGGCATTACAGCATACCTTTAAATGAAATCTAAAGGAAAATGTACAAATAATATTCAAAGAATAAAAATTGTTATATAGTAAAACTACCACACATATAAAGATTAGTCTTCTGTAATATGACACTGTGTAGTTTGGTAGCTGGGTACCAATACTTTTGAGGAATAAATGATCCCTCTATACCTTCACACCAATTATATTCTTAAAAGATATAAGAGATGTGACTAGAATGTTCAAGAAAGGGTCCCAGTGAACTGCTGCTATAACATTCCACCTCAAACCTGTCAGTAACGCATTCATACAACTGTCACTAAGTAATCATGTGTTCCTGTGCATTCACTGTGTCTCATGGTATACAACTAAACTACTTCATGCTTCAAGAACATACACATATCAATAAATTAAAAAGCAGAATTCCATAAAGTGTAACTATTTCATATAATAAATAAAATACTTTCTGGCTTACAGATTTTGGACACTTGTGGCCATCACGAGGAGGCAAACCATCATTAAAAAGAAAATACTATATATAAGCTGCCACTAGCCTCTTTAGTGATATGTAATAACAGCTTATGTATAGTATAATATTTTTCCTTCATAATGTTGTTGGTTTGTCTCCTGACAATGGTTGTTAAGTGACTAAATGGGTAAGACAGAAAAGATTTATTTATTTGATTACTAAATAGTAGCACTTGATGGAATTCTACCTTTATATATATGTAATAACAGCAGGTGTGGAGGCAGTGGCTGTGGTGGTGGAGGTGGTGGCATTTGTTGTAATAACAGTAGCTGTGGAGGCAGTGCTGGTGGTAATGGTGGTGGTGCAGATGTCAAGATAACAATGATACCATACCTCTGAGAAGTGGGCTTTGATGTTTGCAGTGTTGCGCTTAGTGTCACCAAAGCTTTCGCTTGATACTCGAGAAGAGTAAAACTCACACTGCATCATGTCAAAGAAAATTGGAATTGTTGCTCTTCTTAATTCAGTCTCTGGAATTAAGGTCATCTCCAAGAACGGACCAACCAACCCGGGCACAAACTGAATCTTGTATTGACCTGAGAAATTATGAAACAAACAAACACTGCATGATATAGTATACCACATACAACATCTGATTAGTTAATGAAGCAACCGTGCTATCTTTATGAATTCAATGGTAAATCAAATTAGGGACTTTTCCTATAACAAATTTCTTCTCGTCTGCAAGCATTCGATCTTCAGTTTTGAGCCCTGGTTCTTTATGGGAGTATGAGAATTCTGAAAGAAGAGGGACACAAATAATTTTGAAGCAAAGTCAGTTTCAGCCTAAGTGTCACTGATTTATTGCAATTCAATGATAACTCATAATTAACTGCCAAAATGCAACAGGAAATGGATATGTGGTTTCCAACTTGGAATTTCAGGAGACTCTATAGCTTAGATTCACTGGAAAGAGTATCAAGACAATTAGTGAAGTTTAAGTTAGATACATTTGCAGATATAGTGGGAGTACAGGAGGTCAGATTACACGTGTGCCTATGCAAAAGGAAATGCTGATCACTACAGCGTTTACATACATAAAAAGACCAGGAATTAAGAGACTAGAATTTGTTACTGACAGGATACTACTACAAGGCAAATGTAATATTTTTCTGCATGCACATATAGGATAAAAGTGATGATGTGAAGGACAGTTTTTATTATGAACTAAAATGGATATCTGGTCACTTCCACAAGTGACAACAAGTGGGTTCAATCAGTAACACTTCCTACTTAAGTGTGGGAGGTCCAGTTTGAAATTTGGCTGGGACACAGACTAGACAAAGATTTTTCATGGTTTTTCCACAGAAGCTCCAGGAAAACCTTAACATTTTCATTTCTATCACTTCTGCAGATGATTTTTCCCAAGTCACCACTTTTTAGGTAAACTAGCAACAGGCAGTATTTCACAGCAAAGAAATGAAAAGCAAAAAATTGCATACATCCAATAAATCACAAAATGTATCTACATGCACCATCTACTGACAGGGAAAGAAACAATTTCCTTAAAGCTCTTTCAGAAGAAAAACTTTTAATTTGACAGAGTATAATCTTAAGAGACAGAATCTCCTCTATGGTAATTTTGCATACAGCATCTGTAGATGACCAAGCTCACTTACAGGATTAAAGCCATTAAATTAGACAATTGCTTCCTTGCATCCTGTCAAATTCATTATTCACTGTCATCCAATCATCTGACAATACATAGCCTAAAAAAACACACGCACGCACATACATACCAACTGGCTCTACAGCCCTTATGGGTCTTGGCCTCCTGCACCAACAGCCTTCAAGCATCTCTGTCCATCGCAGTGGATCTCCAATCTTTATCTTTCAGTATCCTAAAGTCTTCTCTGACATCATCAAACCACCTCAGTTTTGGTCTGCCTCTTACTCTTTTAGTGTACATCTTCTCATACACGATTTTCCCTGGCATTCTGTTAGCATCCATTCTTTCTACATGTCCCAGCCAGTCAATTCTTCTTGCCTTTATAAATCTAACTATATCTTCTTTCTTCGTTGTTTCTAATTCTCCACTGCTCTTCTTGTTTCATTGGCCCATATATTTTCATACTAATTTTTCTTTCAAATCTTCTTAAATTATTTTCATCCTCTTTCTTTAGCACCCGTGTCTAATTTTTATATATTACTACAGAAAATATTAATGTTTTACATATTTTCATTTTCATATTCCTGTTTATATACTTAGATTTTAGTAACTATAGGTTGGCATAATATGCTTTATTGCCAGATTGTATTCTTTCCTGTGTATACATAGATAGCCTAACAGTGTCATTAAATAAACTGACCATAAACAAATATACCCAGGTACCACATGCATAGTTTTTAGGAGATGCCAATGCAAAAGTAGAGAGAAAAGAGCCATTCAAAGGAACAATTGAGAACGAAAATTTCTGTGAGAGGTCTTGGGGAAGTATTATGAAGAATATCAAGGCTTCACCCAAATTCAGTGTAGGCTGATATAGTTTCTAGATATATTTCCATCGCACAAAATAACAGAGTACTAAAAACTTATGTCATCAGTGTTCACTCCACTAAGCTTGTATTTAGTCACCGTGTCCATCTAGGAAGCACTGTAAACAACCAACCAGAATCAGAAACAATCAAGTGGTCAGTGTTTTATGTTGATTCAGTAAACAGAGCGTCACTTTCATTAGCTATTCACAGACGTCAAGAGAGCCTGGCACTATGCTACAAGCCGGAAGGTTGCAGGATCGAATCCCGATGAGGTCACTGGATTTTTTCAATTTACCTAATCCTTCCAGCTGCATTATGGCCCTGGGGTTGACTCAGCCTCTAACAGAAATGAGTACCAGGAATATTCTTGGGGGTAAAAGGTGGCCAGTGTGTAAGGCTGACAATCTTACCGTCATCTATGTGCCGACTGTCTAGAAAATGTGGGATCCTCAACATCTCACAATCCTATGGGCCTCCACGGCCTGTTACTTTACTTTTTCAAGAGTGCCTATGATTCAGTTTGAAGGGAAACACTGTACGATATTCTCACTGTATTTAGTACACCCATGATGCAATGAAGTCTGTATAGGTAAATATTTGTCTTATCATTTACTATTCAAACTGTCTGAAACAAGGAAATGCTACGAAAGGGTCAAGCTTTAAGCATCTCTTAATATCAGTGATGTTATTTGTATAAAAATTACTGCAATAACAGAGCCTTTCAGTGTAGCAGAACTGCAAACTCAGAANCAAGAGATTGTGATTTCATAACCCAGGTTCCCTTAATTTTGATTCCAGCACATCTGGTAAGAGGACCCCTGTAGACTTTCACATAACATTTTCTTTTGATACTGACCTTTTCTGAGCATAAAAGATATACAGTGTTACAGAGGCAAGTTATGTGTGTGTCTTCTGGTAAGTGTGCCTACTCTGTGAGACTCCTTTCTCACACAACACACAATATTTTTATCAAAATATGGACATCCTATAAAAATAATCTTGCCAGTACTAAACTAGTGCCAAAAATCTTTAGCTATAAAAAATCCTGCAATAACAGAGCCTTTCAGTGTAGCAGAACTGCAAACTCAGAAAGAAAAAAGATAGCAAATATATCACTGAAAAATTTCAATGGCTAACCTTTACGTTTAATAAATGCTAGATAACACATGTGTAATAATGTAAGAGCACACTTACCAAGGTTGAACCACATGCTGCGTATCTCAAAGCCTGTTTCTCTGCGCATATCCTTGTACCTTCCAATAATGCGTGCACGTTTATTCTGGCTGAAAACATCCAGCTGTAATGCAGGTTGAGTAAGGAATGCAATGGCACAATGGAAGAAGTTGTTCCATGCCTGGTGCTCAAATGGCTGGAAGAAGTAATCGCGTATTGTGTGTGAGAAGAATCGAAGAGACTTCAGGATGACACTGCAACAAATGATATAAAAATGTATTACTATTCATAATTTAACTGTAATACCCCATCTTTTGCCAAAAGAAGAAAGAGGCAAATCAAAAACATCAAATATCAGTCCTGAATTTAACACCAGTCTTTATAAAAACACTGGCACCAAATATAATGTCATGTGTTACCTATGCAGCGCGACAAATAACTTCCTGTAGCCTTAGGATTCGATGCTTATTTATTCAACTCATTCATCCACACTTACTTAGAGTCAGGAATACAATTACTATAACTTGCGGTATCACAACTACTGCCTCAATTTCAATACTTCTACTGCGGCTGTGACCTCTCAACTGTCCTTGGCTGTGGCTGGATCTCAATTGTCTCGCTCGTACGTGTCTGTCTATGAACCTTCTGTTGTTCATCTCCAGGGAAACACGTTCATTGTTTTGGCATTCTCTACGCAACGGCCCACTATTATTGTGTTACCATGGAAGTACCTATTCCAAACACGTTACATTAATTTAACTTCAATTTTAATTCTATTAGAAAATTTAAAGCAGTTTCCCCTCCCTTTTTTTTTATCTACAATGACTATACAACTGACAGTGTATCAGCTCACAGATCTACCTGATGACAACTTTATACTGCTCAAAATATGTTGTTAATAAATAACAATTCAGTGTCCAGTGTACATAGTGACCTTGTGATTGACTAATAAATACACAACTGAACAACATCACTGGTGCATTGTGTAGAGAAGATAGGTAAGTGCAACCAACTTCACTAATACAGCAGAATACTAAAATACAGAAATTTGATAAATACAGTATGAAACATCTTTGTCATGATTTAAGGGTGACTATAGACAGGGTATGCATTGGTGAACAGATTTATTGACCATTTATACACACCACTCGGTACAAGTGATTACAGCAATACCGCTAAACTCTGCAATTCACAAATCATCACAACACCCACTAAGACTTTTTCCATCCTGCTGTGCCTTCATCAGCTGTTCCCTGACAACGGCTTCTAACAGTGATGATTCTTCAGCCTCCCATGCTCAGGTCCAATCTTCACAGCCACCTATGTACAACTCTTATCAACTTTCAACTCAACTACGGTCCCATCTCTCATCAGCCACCGTTGCAGAGCTCAACTGAAGTGGTTGCTTCAAACCGTCCTGCTCATAACATCTCGACATGGACCATACAGAAAACAGCCCGTTTCCAACATATGTATTTATTTCCACACGAATGTGTTTACAGGGCTGTTACTCAGAAACAGTTGTATATTTGCCTGCTGCACAGCAACGGCTGTACATGCTACAATATATGTATGTATATATATATGTGTGTGCGTGTGTGCATGTGTATATTGTGACGTATTGCGCTATGGAGGACATCCCCTCCTCCACCAGCGATGATGCAAGAACATCGAGCGCTTTCGCTGATATGGTAACAGGCTGGTCAGCGCTCTGGCAGCTCCCCCACAGTGACATGGCAGGTGACAACAGTGATGTAGCAGAGGATGCCACGGTTGCTATGCAGCAATAAACAACTCTCGATAGCATTCCCAGCAACACCCGTAAACACGGCGACTAGGCAACAAGAAAGCGAGGCGTTTTCCTGTTGTCTGGCTGAGGGTTTATATGATAACTGCACTGCCTAAGGAGTCAGTTAAAATGTAGCAGCCGCCTAAGACAGTTGAATTGAAACAGTCGCCAAGTTCAGTTGTAGCAAGCGAATCGTGAATGCGAAAAGAAGAATACCGGAACGTGTGATTAGAAGTGATAGTGTGAGAAGGTATTGGGAGTGTGTAATACAGTGACACTGGTATAGCTCCCGTACTGTACTGTGAATAAGTGAAGACTACGGAAGACAGATTGAAGAGATTTGTGAGTAGGGTTTGTAAATTGTGTAAGCCCGTAACAGTGTTATAATTAATTGCAGCCAAGACTTGTAGGTTGTTAAATAAACCAATTAACAATCCGAACGGCGCCATCAATAGCAAAATACATTACAATATATATATACATACACACACACACACACACACACACATGGGTAATTCTGTTTTTTAGCTATACTGTCCAGTAACAAATTATATTTCACATAAGGGCATAAATGAACTTTCGTTGAAACTTATGTCAAAAACCATTAATCAAATTGTTGTGGAATTTGATGTGTCTTGGAATAACATTACTTAGTTAATTCGATTTTTAGCCATACTGATTGGTTACAAATCCAACTCTTGATAAGGCCATAAACAGACTTTCCCTTTGCAGGCCAACCCAAAATTCTTTCACATATTTTATGAAAATTAATTATTGTGCCTTATTATGTTATTTAAATATGGATTTCACTCATTTTATCTAACAAATTTCATATTTTGCTTAAATGCCATTTATAAACTGGCAGCAAGCAAGCTTAATAAACTGCAAAGAATTCTGCAGGGAATGTTGCGGATGACATCATGGAGGAAAGTGTGCTCATAGGGGATAGCAACCAAAATGTTTAGATTCAAAATAATTCAATTCACATCAGTTTTGTAATGCCAATTATACATCTACTGAAAGTAAGCTTCATAAACTGCAACAAATGCCAATGAGAATTCTATATCAATCACATGGTTCATGCCATACTACCTGGATTACTATTTTTTTGCACAAATGAGACCATGAACCAAGACAGGCTATCATTATTTCTTGAGAAATTCAAAACTTCCTGAATGCATCTAATAGCAATAAGATGAACTTGCTCACCTGTTCTGCAACATTATCATCTCGCACCAATCCTTAGGATAAACAGGTTTTGACACCAGGTCCTTGAATACAAGTAAGATTTCCATAAGGAAATCAAGCAGGTCTGTAATTGTCACAAAGTGACCTATGTACACTTCAAAATGATGTGCTGTCATCTGACGAAAAATTGAAATCATTACAGCGACCAGTCGACCCTGCATAGGAAAAGAGGTTTCTGTATTGAGGTAGTATAGACTCTAGCGTATATGAATGTAATTTCATTTCCAAATAATTTCAGTTTACATACAGTACCATGTTTCATAACCATACAAAAACAGACAAAATAAATGCTCTATAGTGTAGCTTCGGAAAGTTCTGGGAAAGGAACAATATCTCAAATCTGGAAGAACTAACAAGCTATTAAATGCAATTATTTTCAAAATACTGTCCTTCAGGAGCTACACACTTATTCCAGAATATGAGAAAAGTTGCTTAAAATATTTCTTGAAACCACTGCACACATCCTCCTGCAATGCAGTGTGCAGTCAGGTGAACCTTCATGTGACATTCCTGCAGCTAGTCCTCCTTTTTCAAAGGTACCATAAAACTGTAGGGCTCACAATCACAACAGTGTTGTGATTGAAAAAACAACAATACCAGCTTCATGACTTTCTGATGCATAAGAGTAACCAATGTGCTGGGGCAGTCATACAGGAGCACTCAGACACAGGGATCACCATTTTGGGATGTTTCAGGCAAAATGCCTTCCACAGATGGGTGAGCATCTCCTTGTACCTTTCACTACTGTCCATATCACCATCAGACATACACTGATGCCTTGTTAGTATAACAAGATTTCACCTTCCTTTTTGTGCGATCCTGCTACAGTTTCACAGCTCCTGGCAACAATAACAGCTTCCATACAGAGGATTGCCATTTTCTTAGAGCATAAAATAAACATCAGGTTTCATCACCTGTAATGATCTTTGGAGAAATCTGAATCACTATCAGCTGCAATGGTGAAATTATACCACTGGTACTGATCAAGCTGATATAACAGTAATGTCTGCATTTGTACTCGGAATGTGCTTGGTTCGAATCTTGGTTGGAACACCAGCTGCTCTGTTCTATCTGAATATAAAGTTGTGGCATATTTATAAGCGACATCAGTTATCATAATTATTGTGTTTCCGGGCAGTATCCATCATCCTGTTTTTATTTAAAATGCACAATGTTTTGGAAATTGGATTCTGTCTTCATCTTCAGGTGGAACCTGCTCAGTTGGGCCCAATCAAAAGAGCTAGTCCTTATCTCCAGACACCAGCAACAGCACAAGCTTGCTTACTAACTCATGGAGCTGAGCCCTTTTTGAGGAGCCGCCAATTTTGCAGCTCCTCAAGAATTTCCCAGCATTTTATGGAACCCGAAGGTTCATCACCCTGTTCACAAGAGCCCTCCAATGGTCCCTATCCTGAGCCAGATCTATTCGATCCATACCATCCCATCCTATCTCTCTAAGATCCATTCTAATATTGTTCACCCACCTACGCCTTCGTCTTCCCTGTGGTCTCTTTCCTTCTGGCTTTCCCACCAATATCCTACACATTCCTCGCCTCCCTAATTCGTGCTATCTCCCCCATAGCACAAGCTAGGATATATAAACCCCACAGCTGGTCAGTAAAGGGGACTGCTGAGCTTGGTGCGTCTCAACACACTGTGAAAAAAGAACTTTAAGAGAAAACTCATGACATTCTTCGTGAATTTGGAAAGGAGAGTTGCCAGCCTTTGCCTAAAGCTGTTATATGGTCATCCAATTTTATGAGAATGATGAATACCATCACCTGTGTTGTTGCAAGGAGGACCTGAAGAAATCATACTCTCTAAGATGTGCAAAGCAGATTAGTATCATGTAATCTACAGGAACTATATGTGGCATTTCATGAGAAACCTGCACCTGTTTCAACAGAATTAAGAAAAAACTGCAGAACTACATCCATGGATGTGCAAGAGGGACCCACACAATATGTGTCCATGGTTTCTGAGAACATAAAATTCATGGTGCAAGAAGCACACTTTACAGGCGATTTCAATGCAAAACACTGTCTTGAAAAATGCTTTGGTCAAAAGAAAATGAAACACATGCTTTAACAAGTGTGCAAGTTGCCCTGGGTCTGATGCAGTATGCAAGTTAGTTTCTAAAATGGACAGTGTTGAATTTGGAAATGAAATCACATAAAAAACAGTGGGTGATGACAGACCCCTCAACATTAATGATTGTTGTCCCATCTGAAGAATTAACTGATGATGTGACTTATGAGATTTGGACCTGCTTTCATCCTCACAGTTTTGCAGCTTGATACTAGGCTCAAATCTAACCCAGTGCAAAGAAAGTTCAAATGAACATGCCTGTCTTGCACTAGGAGATTCTGCAGAAATTGCTTTTTCATGGTTCAGTATGCAGTGCATGGGTATCATTGGTTCAACAAACAAGTAATAGATCGATGTAAGATTTGAGGCTTTCACGGCAGTGACTATGAAGAAAGCAGTCTTCTGGGATTTGGCACCGTGTATATGTGGTGTTAACCGACGTTTTGGAGGAACGTATTGCCCCCATCTTCAGGGTAGAAGAAAAACGTATAAGAAATCTGCAAGCGACAACACCGTGAGAAACGGTAAAGCAGACCGTTTCTCACGGTGTTGTCGCTTGCAGATTTCTTATACTTTTTTCTTCTACCCTGAAGATGGGGGCGATACGTTCCTCCGAAACGTCGGTTAACACCACATATACACGGTGCCAAATCCCAGAAGACTGCTTTCTTCAAGTAATAGATCATCATTTTGTAATATATATGCATGATCCAAAATCTCCATTTAAACCAGAGCCTGTTTATTGTTAGTCACTGCATGGCCATATTTTATGATTTGGATTGACCACATGGTGGCAGGTATGCTACTAGGATAATTCTCCAAAGAGTGCTATGAGTGTAACTGGTCTAAGAGCCACCCATGAACACAACACCCAGCCCAGTCTCTTGGGGATGTGATCACATCTGCATGCAGTTATCGTTAAGAAAGTACTAGGCAGGTCAACCCCTTACTAGCTGAGTAGCTTGATAGGTCAAAGGCCAGGTTTTAGGCACTTGCACAAGAGAAAATAGCAACAGGGAAAATATTTACCCCCCATGACTTACAGCTTTATAAATGTTAGTGGTAGGACTTCCTCTTACCCCTGGTAGCATACCACTGCATTCATAAAAATAAATTTTGTGATGTCCAGAAAGTGTATTCTGGAGTAAGAAAAGCAAACACCTTTACATGATATGGTCTGTTCCTATAGGCATCCATAGGTAATTTGTTACGCAAATGGATTGAGGATTCAAGTCATTATTTTGTAATGAATAAGAACTTACAACTAAAGGATTTTCCCGGTCCATTGTTATTGTAGTCTGGATGACAGTCCGCAAGACCGTAAGCATGATTTCTTTTACATCTGGAGCTGTTGGTCCAATATCTTTACGGAATAGTAGTTCCATTATATCACTAAGGATCTTCACACAAAGAACAACCTGCAACAAAACATTTAACTTACTAAAAACATGAGTTGCACAGTTCAGGATAGGGCAACTCAAGGTTTAACTTCATAGTAACAAACACTGACTTTCATGAAGTTCAATGAACTTAAAAACACAGATTTATTTTCCCAGTGTGAAACTAACATCTGTATTTGATATCAACAGGCTAGGCACATAGTGGGGGGGGGATCCAAATCTGGCAGGAAGGGCGGGAATGTGTCCTATGAAGAGGAACAATCCCTGAGACTGAGAAACTCACATAATTTTCCACACATTATAAAACTCTCCATAAGCTCCATCAGTAACACGACTTGCTGTGGACTATGATTCATCTCCAACAGGGGCAGAAGTAAGTTTGTTGTCATATCACAATAGTTCTGGATCCCACACAGCCACCTATCCCTTGAGCTCATGTCCAAAATTAAAACAATGCATTTATAAATAATGATTTATGGACCAGTTATTGTATCTTTGGCCCTGTTAATGGTTAAATGATGATGATGTGAAAATGTGACAGTGATACACTTTTGTCCAAAGCATTAACAATACCATTCATAAAAAAATCAACTTTCCTCACACCACTTCTGTTCTTAAAGAAGCAGTGCCACTTCTGATTTTGATTTACTGTTAAATAAATACATTATAAACATATACACATACATATAGAACTACATAAATAATCTAATTATGGTAATTCACCATCTCACACATTAAATAAACAAACAGCATCAACACCCCCACCTCTGCATTACTCACTCCCAAACCTTAAGTACCATCTCCCCTTTCCCCAATTTGCAGTCTGGAGAAAGGATAACTGGATTATAAGTCGTCCAATTGTGCACTGTGTTCTTTTCCAAATACTCTGCTTGGAAGTTAACACAATGAGCCCAGCGATCAGAAGAGAGTCTGGGACTGTTTCTGTCATAATGCTGTTGAGTACTTGCTGCAAATTCTGCTGGATCTCTAAAACAACATTACATCTCTTTTCTTTGGGATTCAGGGATTCAGGTTCATCTTTGGAAACACAAATAAATCACAGGGAATCAAATCAAGCAGTTAGGTGGCTGGGGAAAAAGTCATGTTCTTGGTCATGACCTGTTGGGACAGACAGGCACACAGACAGGCTACATTTTGCCATGTCTCAGGATGTTTCTGGCAAATGTATTCTCACAGACATCCAGTAATACTGCTTATTTACTTGGCTGGGAGGGGGGGTGTAATTCACGACACAAAAACCTCATTACAGTTGAAAAAATGATGAACATGCTCTTGACATTTAACAGAATTTGTGTGGTCTACTTCGCTGGGCATACTAACAAGTCAAGATATCCACTGTGGTAACTACAGCTGTTTCCAAATCATACCCACAAACCTAGGTTTTATCACCTGTAATAACCACTGGCCAAGAGCATGGATCACCATAACGCTGATCGAGATCAGGACAGACAGTGAACTTTCTTTGTTCTTTCATTTGGCAGAGATCCTTCGCATGTTCAGATCTGATAGAATGCACTGGCAACTTTAAAAGGAAAAAAAAAATGAAAAAGAATGCAAAGCCACTGCACATACTTTCTCATATGTGTTTCAGCCATTATAAGGTGCACCATTACCTTCCTAAAGATGCCACCTATGCAATTATATTTCAGGAAGTCTCTGCAATTACGAGTTTAACTCTGAGCCATTTTTGGTAAAATCATGATTTTGTTTTTTGGGGGCCCATCTGAAGAGCCTATTTCTTGGAGCTAAAATGTTCATCAAGCACTGACCGTTGATGGATAAACTCTCAAATACCGAACATGAATAATATCTGTAGGATTTGAAGTGCACTGCCTTCTGGGATACAACACCATCTAGTCCACTGAAAGTCAACTAACATTTTGGAGGAACATGTTGGATATGCTCTGCTTGTCACCTGCTTTCATGATGCCAGGTTGCTCGGCATTTCTTCAACTTTGAAGATGGAGACATGTTCCTCCAAAATGTCCACTGACTTTCAATCAACTACATGGCGTTATATCCCAGTAGACAGTATTCTTCAAGGATAAAATCTGTTCCAACAGTTCAGGCATTAGAGAGGTGTGCGCGCACGCACACAAAAATAGCTTCATATTCAGGGTGACTGAAAATGCATAAATCCATCAAAAACTGCAATAATTTATTTGAAACTACAATATTTTCTCATACATGGTGTAACTGAAAGGTGCAAACAAATTTTGGGCACGAGTTCAACACCCCAAAAAGTGTCCATATCAACATGACATGAAACATTTAATTTGTGAGCTACAGCTGAAAGTATACATTTATAATCAGTGCTCAGAATGTCCTCCACAAGATTCAATGCACGCTTGGACAAGTCTCATCATGACTGCAACATCCATACAATGATGCAGGGGCAGCTGCAGATAGTCTGATAAGCATCCACAATGCAATGGTAATGTGCTTCTTCACTGTCAATAGAAGCTGCATACAGAAGGGGATTTAGGTGTTCCCACAGGTAAAAATCCAGAGGATTCACATCTAGTGAGCATGGAGGTCATGCAGTGGTCCTCCATCTATCTATCTGTCATGATAGGTGTTACTGAGAACATCTCGCAAAGTGCGACTTTAACGTGCCAGAGCACCATATTGCATGTGCCACATTCACGCTCTGACTACCAGTGGCTTTGGCAGATCGTGTAACAGGAAATCTCAGTAATGGTTGTCTGTAGGCTGATGTGGCAAAATATGCAGGTCTATCAATCACCAACAAGGGGACACTTAACACTTATTCCAAATGTATTTTTTAGCTCTAATTCACAAACTTTTCTGACATATGGTACAGATATTTTTTCTTGTTTCGGTATGTGAACTTATGCCTAGAGTTGGTCCACACCTTTCAGCCACACCCTGTATATATTACACATATATGAGAAAGTAAATCTCGAAAACAACCAGTGCTTTTAATACAGCATCTTCTCCTACTACTGTAATATATTTTATGTCTCAGAAGCCACTTTACCAAGCTTGAAACAAGCTGTTTTCTTTAATCACTCATTTTGATTCACCTACCACAGAATGGTGTACATGAGAAACACCAATGGCAAAAGTATATGCTGTCACCAAACACCTAAAATCATAATATTACCAACCATATCATTACAGGAGGATTCTCACAGACTTCGCTTCCATCTTGGATGGGTACAAGAGGAGTTTCCTAGGGGTAAAGTAGAGGTAAAGCATTCAGTAAAACTCCATCTAGTATTGAAATGAAGAATCTGTGAAACTTTAACATAATTTCTAGATGCTTTGTGGTGCAGTGCTAAGGCAACAAGGAAACTTCATCTTGTTTTAGTACTGCATCCTACAGCCTCTAAGGTTATTTTTGTTGAGACCTGACATCTTTCACAGCAGTCAATACTCACTGTAAAGTTTATGGGGTGTAGCACCATGTCAAAATGGTTAAGAATTACTCATATGTTATAGAAGACTGCCACTTCCTCCTTGAAGAATAAATGCACTCAAATGCGAAGGAAGCTGCACTGCTGGAGTTTTTCTTTTCTGTCAGACTCGTTCTGGAGCCTACCTGTAGCCTAACAAATGAGTTCTTTACCCACAGCAAGAAGGTGAACATTCACCTCTTCCTTCAGGGTTCAAGTGCACTCTTACCCTGAAGAAAGGAGTAGCAACTTCATCCACAAACACACCTTCCACCATTCTGATGTGATGCTATACTTTATAATGTTAGGTTTTAAGAAAAGAGGGAAGCTTATCCTTATGACTCACCTCCTCAGAGTTCCCACAGTGAGTGTGCAACTTCTGCTTGCTGGCTCCTAACATCCTGGCAACCTTGGCAACAGACTTAGTCTTGTTACGGAATTCGACACCAGCCCGTCCCTGACAGACATCAGGCAACACTTCAACTATGATGTCAAGCTACTATTATATCCATCCACTGTTTGCAATCATCACAACTCTATTATATATGAAGTCCTACTACACCAGAGTCCTCTGAAATGCTTGTACCTATCTTTCAAACTACATGCCATCACTTCCAAGTAGTCAATAATATAAATTCAGTTTGCTTTGTATACTTCTCCACGCAAATTCTCACAATAATAAACTGCCTACTTCATAAATNAAACTTCAATATGCATATTCATAAATTAGTAAATGAGGAGACCAAACAATCTGCCCTCCTTAATTAATATATTCATTTGCGAAATAGGCATTTAGAAATCCTATTTATCTGGGAAAATACTGATACTGGACTTGAACACCTACATGTCCTCCAAAGTATTTTGATCCCATGATGATGAATGACAAAAAAGTTCAAAATCTTAGCAAGCTGCATTACCACTACATTATCACGCAGATATGCAAGAAACTCAACTACACTACAGCTAGCAGACACACTGAAATATTACTCCAGCTATTAAAATTTAGTATGCCTAACTACACTACAATAGCACATAATTAAATAAAATGATATTCAATTCTTTGATATCATGGTGACTGGAAATTACTTTGTGTTTCCTCTAAAGATAAAAATTATATAAGTAAAGCTACAAGTGAAACCTAGCACACAATTCCAAAGAATGTACCATACCAAATTCATTGTACACTTATCATTGCTTCCATCTATAAACTGGAAATTTGGATTTTTAACCATGTCTTAAAACAAAGTACTAAATGTGTGATCAACTGCAGTCTTTAGAATCATACATATGCATCAGTGGTTATAAAACAAAAAATGAGCAGACCATAAAACACAAATATAACTGATGGAATAAGAAAAAGACAGTTAAATTGGACAAATCCTGTATACAGGTCCCAAAATTGACACAGGAATATTCCAAAATTCAAAATATGAGTGCTCCCAAGTAGAATTAAAAAACATTATGGGTTAAGTCAAGCTGTTTTGTAAGTCATAACAGTAATTTTTCCATCTCTTGTTGAATGTTTGCCCACTTATATTGCTGTTTACACAGTGATGTCAGTAGATCAGAGCATAAAGCTCTGAATGAGAGGATGGTTCGTGAACATTTACTGGGAAAGGGGTGCAAGAGAATAGCTGCAGTATAATTTTAGGTACTATCCCAAGATCTAGCAGGAGGGATGTCTAAATGCAAGTCAAAAAGAGTACAGCTTAAACTAACTTTCTCTGCGATGCAAAACACTTATTTCCACCTTCTGTTGAATGTTCGTGGTTTACAGAGTTCAGAATAACTGAGACTACAAAAGACAGAATGGTAGGATGTTTAATGGAAGGAAATGGTCATGGTCGAATCTGGAGTAGGCCTGCTATCTTGCTATTTGCCTGGAGAGTCTGGGGAAACTACATACAACCCCACTACTGATGGCCAGTGTCCTGTCTGAGATTCTAACTCACCTTCTCTTGAATACAAGCCAGAAATGTTACAGCCTTAGCCAACTTGTACATATTAGTCAGGATATAAATATCTCCAAGTTTCCAAATCATGGTCATTGTGTCACTCACAGTCCAGAAGTGAAACAAATACTCCTGTCATCCAAGACTTGTTTACCTTCCTCCTACTGCTATATATCCTGCCACTTCTCCAAATTTGCTCACATCTACACTGAAGATTTAGATAAAGTATTCCTCCAAAACATTGTGACCTCCCTTCCATAATGAATGGTGCCATGCCTCTGAGAACCATAATTTATACCTTCATGAAACATAAAAAACTGATTTTTCACTGGTACATGCATTCACAGCCACAAGACTCTGCCACATAAACAAGGACTGTGCACGAGTTAAATATGAGGGAACATGGGAATATCTGAAAGACAGCACCAATTTACAAGAAGAATGATAAAATTGACTGTAGTGATTATTGAGCCATATCATTTTTATCAGTTTCATACAAAATCCTTCCCTCAAGGTTGAGTCCATACATAGATGAAATTATTAGGGATCATCAGTGTGAGTTTCAATTACTGATCAGATTTTCTGATACAGCAGACACTGGAGAAAAAATGGGAGTACAATGACACAGAACATCAGCCATTCATAGACTTCAAGACAACCTAAGGTTCAGTTCGTAGGCAGGTATTGTACAGTATTCTCACAGAGTTTGGGGTATCCATGAAATTAGTTAGGTTGATTAATGTGTGTTTAAATGAAGCCTATAGTAAAGTCTGTAAACATTTCTCTGATACAGTTCTTACTCAAAATGGTCTAAAACAAGGTGCTAATTTACTGTCATCCCTTTTAAACTTTGATTTACAATGTGCTATTAGGCCTAGGAAAACCTGATGGGACTAAAATTAATGGGACAGATCACATGCTTGTCTGTGTTGATGATGTAAATCTACTGGGGGGGAAAATATACTGTGACACAACAGAATAGTTTAACAAGAGAAGCCATCCATTGGACAGTAACAGCTGGATAAACACATGTTCATGGCAACGGACATGTTGCCAATGATAGAGGAAATGTTGGAGACTCAACATGCCACAAAAGAGGCAGTGTCTTCTATGTGGTCTGGCCCAAGGCTATATAGCAAGGGCCATCACGAAAAGTTAATGAGTGATAACCCGTGAGCAGACAGTGAACTGGCAGCCAGCCATCAATCAGTGAGAAGGTAAGCACTGAAGCAGATGAACCTCCATGGTTATTATCCTTAACCTTAAGATGCCTAGTGAAGACGCTAACTGCAACAATTAGCGAAGACATAAGAGATGGAGCATATGCAGTAATCATGTGCTAAGAGTGTATATTAGTGACAGTGTTATAAATATTGTAGCTGTGAGTTACATGTGTTCAATAATTCCAATCACCAATCCAAACCTGGTGTCTAGTCACCAACACGTGACAATATATACCATAAAGAAAAACACAGAAATTTTAATTGACGGTAGCAAGCAGGGTGGTCTAGAAGTAAAAGTAGAGAAAACTAAATGTATTTTGATTGCTCATCACCAGAATTCAGGCCAAAATCACAAAATAAATAAAGCTAATAAATCCACTGAAAATGTGGCAAAGTTCATATATTTGGGAATGAGCGTAATACACCAAAAATTGGTTCATGTGGAAATTAAGAGCAGACTGAATTCAGGTAATGCTTTTTACCATTCAGTTCAGAGCCATTTTTTCTCTCATCTGCTGTCCAGAAAAATAAAGATAAAAACATACAAAACTATACTTTTTCCTGTGGTTTTATATGGGTGCAAAACTTGGTCTCTGATGTTAAGGGAGGAACATAAGGTGAGGATGTTTGAGAACAGGGTGCTGAGGAAAATATCTGGACTGAAGAGGGATGAAGCGGTAAGAGGTTGGAGAAAACTGCACAATGAGGAGCTTCATAACTTGTACTCTTCACCAAGTATATTAAGAATAATCAAGTCAAGGAGGATGAAATGGGTAGCCTATGTACCATGCATGAAGGAGAAGAGAAATGCATATAGGATTTTGGTTGGAAAGCTAGAAGGAAAGAGACCAGAACAGAATACTCAGCAAAAGACTATGGCCTCTTAGATCTTAGTTACTGTGAGTTCTAACTCTAGAGGAACCTGAAGGAAAAAGTGATGAGAATAATGTGAACAGCTGAGGCTCTCCAGAGAGAAATACCACATGAAAGTGTTTCAGTTTCTGAGGATGAACTTAAATTGTCACAAAACTTGCTTGCTCACAGTAAGGCATGCTTGGTGGCAGAAGAGGTCATTACCAGCAATTCTTACAAAACAGAATAAGTTGTGCTATGTTTCTATAGGGTCAATTGATGTTCTGTGAAAATATACACTGATATAAGAGTCAGAGCCACATGAAAGTATAAATCTTGCACAGCTGTCTCTACAGTCACACAGTAAACTACTGCCTTGCTATCGCACAAGCAGTACAGTTCTGCTTCAAGTAAATACTTTTTACATCAGCAGTAACACACATCATATGTGTTTCTGGAGGTACTGAGTTGGGCATCCTGGCATTCTGACAGATTTATCACTGCGTTCCTCAGTCTGTCCAAGTAAATGTAAGGATAGTGTCTTTAAATTAGCCAAACCACCACATTCCAAATTCTTATTTATACACCATTCTGAATCATCTTCACCAATCATTCAACTGCAGCTGAAACAGCAAATACCCTATGAACCAACAAATATACTGCTATAAACACGTTGCACTTGCCATTCTATATAACTTGCAGTTCATTCACAGGTTAATTGATTCACAACACATGACCCATCATTATAACTAATAACATGCATAAGTATAAAGCTACTTCAGATTTCATTCAGTCATCCAAAGAAGTTCCACACTCAGACAGTTTTATTACAACAATACAGGACTCAGAAAGTTTTTACTTTTCAAAGAACAATGTACAAAAACATTTTTAAACTGCATGTAGAAATCTCAGCAAGCTCAGGTTGGGTTCAGTGATGGGCTCTTGTGAACATAATAATGAACCTTCATATTCCATGTGAGAATTTTAGGTGAGCACACTATTAATTACTGAAGAAAGATGCTCTCCCAAAAGTTAGTAAATTAGTTTGAAGAAAAATATACAAAGAGTGGGTGGTTTCATCATCAAAGCAAATGCAGTACCACATAGCACAGATCACCCCAAACCAAATTTTACAGAATCTTAATTGCTAAAGAACAATTCTAGCCATTAGGCAGGATATCACACAAAAATAAAAATATAAAAATTCCAGCCATGATATGTACAAAAGATAAGGAAAAATATTTACTGAATTCCCCCCCTCACAAAAAAAAAGAAACACCGCATGTGCCACCCCATGCACTGGCTCAGTCTACCTGTGCTGTCACACTGCCCCTGCATGTAATGCATGCCTCAGATCCTCAAAAGGAGGTGGGATAGCACAGTTGGTATGGCGACTGGCTATGGGCTGGACAACCAAGGGGTCAGAGTTC